ACAATCTGATATATGTGGCCTATGAATGTTATCATAGCTCATTATTGCGACCCACATGATTAACAACTCGTGCAATTCCCAAATTCGATGGATGTTGCTTACGGATGTCATCATAGCTTGTCATGTAAGAGCTCGCCACAATGACTTATGTGGCTTAGAGCTTATGCAACTCTCAACTCCGACTGTTGTTGCTCACGAAAACATCACAGCTCGCCACCATGACATATGTGGCTTACAACTTATGCAGCTCCCGACTCTAGCTCCCACAACTTAAATATGTCATCATAGCTGGCCACTAAGACATATGCGATCAACTATGACCTACGTGACTCACAATTTTTGCACCTTCCTACTATGATTTCTATGGCCTACCGAGACTCTTGAAATAATCATATGTGGCCCACATGGCCAACTGCTATCATGATTTTAAATTGTGGCCTATACGACAAGGTGATGTTACAACCACTATCTATAATATTCATAACATACTATTGCCTCTATAATAATTGATTAGACCCTTGTTGTTTGTCATCATTAAGAATTAGATTTATTGCAATCGTACTACAACCACTATCAATAAATTACTGTTGTATATTGACAATGATCAATTTTATAACTCTATTTTTCATAGTTAAGGAGAAGAGTGGAGTTGTGTACTCATAATTTATAATAGATTACTACAATCGGGTTAGGTCCTCTGATTTCTTATTCTTTATAGTAATTTTTATGTAAAAATTGAGGTGTTTCCTCGTGCTTAATCTCATTTATTATCTAAGCTTGTGTTGAAGTCTCGTATACCGCTATGCTACTAAATAATCATTGTGTCGTCGCAGATCTTCATGCATCAAAAGCCTTCATCAGTGGTTAAAAGATGATAATTATAATGAAGAAAATGGTTAAAATTTTTATTTAAAGTTAAGGTGGCTAAATATTATATTAAATATTTTGGAGGGTTGGTATGATAAATGCCAAAAAAAAAAGAATTTACAACGTGAGAGAACTAGTCAAATTTCTCATGAACCAGCAAGGCTGAGTGCCCATTTAGGGCAACTTAATGGGAGCGGTGGCGTTTTGAAAACGTCGCAATGACGTTTGGATGTCGTGTTCGCTCAAGCATTTTATTACCGCTGATACGCAATATTAAAACAAATAGGCGTAGGGAAATAATCAGACCTCCCTTCGCGTCCTGCGTTCAGTTTGTGCGTTAGGGTGAAAAAGACGCCCCGTGCCCCCCTTCGGTCCCCCTCGTCCTCGCCTTCTTCCTCGCGATCGTTGAGAAATTTGTTAAGAAATCCACTCTTTGCTCTCCCTCTCGTCGCCCTCTTAACGAAACCCTACTCTTCTGTCTGCTATGCACCATCATTTTCGATCTTTCTTTGATTTTGCTAGATCTTTTTTGACCCCTAATTTGTGCCTCCTTGCATCTTGTTTGGATGCACCATTGCTGGTTTTGGAGGTTTTTATGGAATTTTGGATGGGTTATTTTGTTAGATCTGAACTTTGGAGACAGTTTTCTTTCAAAGTTTTTGAGCCTCTAGATCTGAAATGGATGCGGTTTTTTTATTCACTTTTGCTTTCGAGTCTTCTTTGTTCATGTGCGATGCAGTTTTTCTTTCAGTTTTTGCTAGATTTGAAATTTGGATGAAAGTTTGGGCGTTACATTTCTTGTTTAAAATGGTTCTTATTGAACGAATTTTGGATGGGTGTTTTGAACGAAATTTTGGATGGGTATTGTTATGGAATTTTGTTGAAATGGTTTATCCTCAACATTAATAGAGTTTGGACATTACATTTTTTTGACATTGCATATTCTGAATTAATGGAAATTGGGAAAAATGCAATTTTCATGGAGTATGTGTGTTCTGATTCCCATGGCTTGGGTCACAGTAGAGTGGTATACTTTTTATGTTGGTCAGTCTCTCAATACCTAGACGGGCTCCCAAGTGAAGCAACAACATTAGCCTTTTGAATTTCAATAAAATTTGTGAGATATGTAGCTTCATAGGCCACAATAACTAAAAAAGTGTGCTTGGGTGACTGAATGGAGATGCAATTACTTACCCTGCTTCTTCTTTCACCCGTTATTGGCAAACTTTCGTTCTTCTGTGTTTCTGTCGTGGCAAACAATATTGAGTTAGATTTTCTAATCACGATTTTTGTTTCACTGTTTAGTAGATATTTTGATTCATTAAAATGGTTGTGACATTAGAAAGAAAATGTTGATACAATTTTTATTTCATTAAAATGGTTGTTGAGAGAAATAATAATTGTAATGCAAATAATATTCACTGTTTAGCAAATGATGGGAATAATATTCACTGTTTATGTCGTTTACCGGGTTTTCAAGCTTGAGATGCAATGCAAGTTGTGCCTGTCTCCAAGCTTGAGATGCAAATACTGTTATGATTGTTTAGAGCATCGGATTGTATATTTTTACGGGGTCTTCAAGCTTCCTTTGATGCTGAGGGTAGAGAGGATATATACTGTATATATTTTAGAGCTACGAGTTGTGTCTGTCTTTAGAGCTACGGTTTACAACACATTATGGTGATGATGATGAATGTCGATATGAGAATCTTAGATAATCATAGCTTCAATGGAATTGGATTCCACGACATGTATGAGAAGTTGCATATCAAATATAATATGTGTATTGTTTACTTGTTACACATGTACTTTAGTTGTAGTGTTCTCCATGGAGAATCATAGCTATGTACTCTTACATAATTGAATAATAAAACATGTTTAATGTCTTACTGTGGACGTAGGTCTTTGACTAAACCACATAATTCCTTTGTGTTATTTTTTTTCTGATTAAATTTGGACACTGTTGTTGGTTCATTTTGTGGATGTTGGTTCATTAATTCATGTTTTTTTCTTATAAAGTTGTTTGTGCATTTTGTTGGCTCGTGGTTTTGTCATAGACATCTTTCAACTCAATTTTTTTAATTTGGAAAATTTTTTTATGCTTGTTGAGTTACAATATGAATTTCTTTATGCAATATGCAATTCTTCATATAGTTCCACAGTGGCTAAGCCAAATGAAGATGGTCCCCCAGCGATGTGGGATAAGGAAGTTACAAATATTTTTTGCAACATTTGCATCACTGAGATTGAGATCGGGAATAGGCCAACGACCTATTTCAACAAAGAGGGTTGGCTGAATATAGCTAAAAAGTTTAAAGAACTGACTGAAAGAGATTATGACAGACTAAAGTTTAAAAATAAATGACATAAACTGAAGAAAGAGTGAAAAATTTGGAAGGAGCTGAAACGTGGATGGTGGGCCAAGAAATTAGAGGTAAAATTCTTATTAATTACTTGTCAATTACATTTATTTTCAATTAAAACGATTACCCCCTAAACCCCCGCTGCATTTTATTGTTATAGGCAATGCCGACAACGAAAAAATACAAACAGAGTGGAATTGATCCAGATCTTGAAGATAAACTTGACATAATGTTCAAGGGGGTGGTGACATCAGGAAAACATGCATTTAGTCCTAGTGAGACGGGGTTTGTAGAAATACCCGATGATTTCCACCAGAACCGGTGGCAGTTGAAGAAGAAATACACAGCGTTAACCAGAGAGAGATGGGGGAATCAAGCTCACAGATGAAGAGGCCCAGGTTAGGAAGAGGAAAGAAAGAAAATGATACTTTTGTGAGAACTTCATTTGACATACTCATAGATGCTTTTGGAGCACCACCGCCTGCTCCACTACCTGACGAAACTATCTTCGATTGTCTTCGCACTTTGAAAACCATCCCTGAAGTTGTAGCGGATCAACACTTTCATGCAATATGTATGAAAAAACTTGAGGATCCAACACGTAGGCATATATTTATGGCGGTGGAACTAGAGTTGCGAGTCGAATATTTGCGTGTTATTGTGAGTGATTGAGATCTTTATGTGTTTTCAAGAAATGTTTATGTACTATTCAAAGTTGTGAACTCATCTGTTATTTGGAGTTGTGTTTCTTTTTTAAAATTTACTTTTAGTAGAGCTCTACATTTTTTTTATTCTTAATAGCCGAGTGTTTTCATTATTTATTTCTTGCTTGCTGGATTGATTAATAATTGATGAAATAACTGAGATTTTTCTTCCTTTAGGATGATACTTCATAACTTCATACGACGACACCCTTCATGTTCAGATACGGACTTTAGTATGGATGATAACGAAGACCTGACTGTTTATGAAGAACCATCATAAATCATGATCGGGCCTTCAGTTCCTGAGGATGAAAATTAATTTAATGAATTTGAAGTTCATGACACAGAAAGTGTTGTTGAGATGGCTGTTATGAGGGAGTATATAACAGATGCTATATATGAAAGCTAATCCAACAAGTTTTTTTCTTCTTCGTGTATATGTAAATCAATCTTTATGTGGATTTTATTTTTTTGGGAATAAGTTCTGACATTCGTTTTTTTTTCTCGCAGTTATACAAACATGACTTTTAAGATATCAGTTACAGACAGAGGTATTTTGTGTTATTGTGGACTACCGTCTCCGTTGCTCATTTCGCGTCAGTCTCATAGCTTTGGGAGACAGTTCTACAATTATGTCAAATGTGTTTCAGCTCGTTGCGGTTTCTTCCGATGGGCTGACAGTCCCACCTATTACACTACCAGCAGTCATGGGAATCCAATATTTTTCCAGGTTGATAGTGCAGTTGAGTACAAACGTAGCCAAAGTTTAAAATTAAATATTTTAATATTTCTCATTGTAGTTGTACTTATCTTTGTTTTTTTTTTTATTTTTTCTGGTACCCACGAGAGTGTGAGAACTGTTTGTTATCTTTTGGAACTGATCTGTGATGATTGTATGCTTCTACACTATATGTTTATGTACTATCAATAAATTATTTTGAATAAGTTATCCCAAATATTTTTATGAGACATGAACATAAATGTCATTTAAGCACCAATAAACTAATATGGTTATGAGAATAAATATATGATTATGAGAATAAAAGCAGACGCCCCCAAACAGAACCTGAAATTCACTCTTTCATACATTTCCCTTCCACCGCACTTCAGTTTTCTTACTAAGGAGGGCCGGCTCCATGGAATTCCTCTCCGAGAATCTAACCCCCATCGATGATACCTCCCCGGCCCAAACCCTAGCACAGCACCAGCGCCCTCGCTGCATCGTCAAGCTCGGTCTCTCTCCATCTCTCTCTCCCTCTGTGTTTATGGTTGTAATTTCTTATTCTTATCTGTGAAACTCGCGAAGATTTCTTGTTCAGGCGGGGCAGCGATCACCTGCAAGAACGAGCTGGAGAAGATCAACAAGGAGAGCCTCCGAATAGTATGCTCACAACTGAGAGAAGCGATGAAGCCGGAGACGGCGGATTTTCCTGCGAAGGTTTTGGGGATGGACTGGAGCAGGCGGCCTGGGGATTCCATCGATTGTATCGTCGATTTTGATGCAGATTCTGCGTTGGTTTCCGCTGGCGGATTCATCATCGTCCATGGAGCAGGTATGTCCATTTGCTTCAATCTGAAGTTCGATTTGGTAAAATATGAGAATGAAACTGATTCGGTTTGACGTTTGAACTGGGCGGGTGAATTATATTGGAGGATTCTTCAAATTTTAGGAAACGTAGGTAGCTGGACTGAGCTCAACTCATATAATTTAGTTGTAACTAAAATTGCTTGGATTTATGCATCTAACACTAATAATCACCAACCACTACTTCCCTATAAAATTTATGCATCCAAGTTCCTATGGGAAAACTCAAACCCGGATAAAAAAAAATCCCTCAAAATGAGGGTGAAATATCTGGGTAGTATAGACTCTTAGTTTTTTAATTTTTATAGAGAGAGATCTATACCAAGGTTATCACTAAAAACGTTTGTCATATATACCTACTCTCAGCTCTTTGGAGCACTGGGAGGGAACGAAATAACATATATTTCTGTGACGTTACCCAGGATGACAAATTAATCTGATTCAATATCTTATATTGAGGTTTCTTTTGTGTAGACTCTTAGTAATGGAAACAAGATACATCTTATTTTATGTGACTCTTAGTAATGGAAACAAGATACATCTTATTTTGTGGAAGTGGAGGGCTTTAAATTTTCAAATTTATCCATTAATATATTTTAGAGCTTCAACTTTATCCTCTAATTTTACGTTGCTATATTCCTTTGATTTCCTTAAATTCTTTCTCTTTATAATTATCTTTTTTTTTTCAACTAATGTTAAGAGTTCCCCCAGTTATTCATAAAAGAACATGAAGATCATATAATCCAAGTTTATAACATGCATGAGTCACATGGCATATATCATAATAACTATGAAATGTTTTGATAAAAACCCAGTGTAAATGCATTATATGAGAGTTCTCACTTCAACTCAAATGATCGTATGCATCATAAGCTGCGGCTAGGAATGTTGAATATCAATCTCTTGATATAAGTGGCACCCCGAAAGGCAGGCGTCTAACTTTAGCAGTTGGCAGACATCAAGAAATGATTGGTTGGTAACATTTAATGTAAAAAATGATCTATAGTTTGCTTGTTCTTTCTCATGATGAGGGGAGAACGAATGATCAAAAAAGATGGGTGGGCAGACATGGTTTTTGGTAAACAACAGAAGACCATCAACTACAAATGTCAAAGGTTGTGCGATGGTTGAATTGTGGCTCAATTGTTCTCCTAATTGAAGGAGAGACAAGGTAAGTAGATGTTGATTGTCAGTAGGTATCATATGGCGGTTGATTGGAAACATTGAAGGCCAGGAAATGATAGATGGTTGACGATTTGTTCCGTCGTTCTCCTAATAGGAAAGGTGAAATGCGAACAAGACGACAAGTGTTAGACATCGATCACTAATAGGCATAAGATGTAGGATGACTAAAATTGTTAGGAGTTAGGTGAAGTTCGATCATCATTCTAGTGGTAGGACAGACCATGCGAATAGGAAGACTGGCATTGGATGTCATCAACTTATCGACTTTGTTAAAGTACAAATGTTTGTGGATAACAAATGTTGTTTGTTGGTTAGTGATAGACATTGTTGTTGGTTGATTACAAATACTAATTGATCATAATAGTGGACATCGATGTTGGTTGATGATACTGTTGGACAATGAAAATTAAAGCTCTAGATCTCTATAAAATTTAGATATTTTATTGCTAAAAATCCTCCCCTGAATGTGTAGAAAAATGGTCTTTTATAGATTTTTGCAGTGTAATTCCGCTGATTTCTGCTATAAAATTGGATATTTAATTGGGCAGCTCAGAAAGTTCTTCTTTTTGGTCATCAACCTAATGAACTTATAATCAAGTCCTCTAGGGCTTGCTGGATTCATCTTATTTAGATGCTGGTTTTGAGTTATCTAATATCAATAACTAGACTTAAGCGGATGTTTCTTCCCCAAAATGGCCTCAAAGTTTCCAATTTGAATCTCAATGCTTTATTTGGGCTATTTGGCTCAAATCAAGGACTTCTTGGTACCACAATTTTGTGTTATTGAACAACACTGCCCCAACTATAAAAATGTTAAAAATAAAGTTTGGATGTTCTCGAAATTAATTTCCAAAATTTCTAGTGTGAATACTCTGATTCTTTGAAATCTAAAATATCGCCAAGGTTTGTGCTTGATAAATAAATTTCTGTTGGTGTGTGAAGTCTAAAAAAATAGAATAATGGCCAATTGTGATTGTTCAAGCATATCTTAATCAATTGTAATTAGGTTGATGATGATGCCGATGCTTTCATCATATCAGATATATAAATTTAAAGGAATATTTTTTGATTTTTTTGCATCATTTAAGTACACTTTCTGCAACTACATTAAGTATTTTTCATCAGTCACGTGACTTTTATTCTTGTAGGTTCTTTTGGCCACTTCCAGGCCAGCAGATCTGGAGTCAACAAAGGAGGATTGAATCTGCCACTTGTTAAGGCTGGTTTTGTGGCTACACGGATCTCTGTTAGTGTCAATTCTACAGAATTATTTTACCTTTCAATCTTAAGATACTATGGATGTACAAATCAGTACATGATTTTGCCATGTCTTTTCTAACATTCTTTTTTTAGTTCTGAGCTTATAGTTAATTTCCCATTTGTTTTATTTTTCAAGTGTCAAACTATTTGAAATTGGGAAAGTAGCATGGTGGCTCTTCTAAATCTCTGTTATTGATGTGCCATGTTATCTCAAATGATATCTAATGGTATGGATAAGTAAAAATCTCTTCTTTATTTTCTCTTTCTTCCTAAAGTAGGTTATTTTCTGAAATTGCAAGGTCTTTTTTGCAAGACTGGGCAACTTTAGCAGTTCCACTCTTCCGGAACAATGATTATTGTAAAGTAATAAAGGTGTAATGTCTTTGAACTACTTTATTGGGATATTCTATGTAATGCGCCCTGATTCTATGCATCTATACAGTGAAAATTGAAAATTAAAGCTGCCACTTTCTACGTATAAAAGGCTTTTAAATCACTTTTTCATTCTTGTTGCGTTTTTTCATTCTTGAACCACACAACATAACCCTCGAGTTAAGGCAAAGAATGCTGTTTTGATTTTGAAGGGACAAAAGTCATAAGACGTGATGATACAATAATGACAATCAGAGAACTTGATGTGAAAAGTGGAGGGTTGTGTTAGATAGCCGACAAACAACATAAATTTTTGTCGAAAAATCATGACATGAGTCCTTCAAGTCACCGTTTAAATGTTTTGGTGTCCTCTAGAAGCGACGCGTTGTATGACCTGAATGCAGTGAAAAATATACAAGTGTCGCTGCACTGGTGCTCTGCTGTAGTGTTAAATAAGCAAGGTTTTCTACATTATGGATGAAACAAATGAAAGAAGTTGGTCTATAAAACTAGTATTAGAATAAGAACTTGAGATATTGACACTTTTACAAATAAATTAATGAAATCAGTAGATTTTATGGTTCATAATAAAATAAATATCTTTTGCATTCTAAATGGGTTGAGGAAATGCTAATCAGATTGATAGCTTAAATTTTAAATTTTGTTATTCAGATAGAAGTTGTACTAGAAATGATGTTATGTATAATTATATATAAGAGTTTGAAATATAATGTTGTAAAAATTAATACAATCGGTGATAAAATTATAACCATAAAAATTATTGTTACCATTAAGATTCTTAATGTTATGAATACTTGTGCTTTTCAAGTAGATTTAGATTTATGTTTAAAATAAAATTTTTAGAATGACCTAGAAAAATTAATACAAATGCTATCACTTGAAGAAAAAAATTTATTGAAAGAGATTTAAATTGACATGTTGAGAGTGGTAGAATATTATAAAAATGTTGATGATGACTATGGTTTTGGAGTGACCAATGAAGACGGTAGATTCATATTAAATTTTGCTTTAGCTTATGATTTGTTATTGCTAATAATTTATTTAAGAAAAGAGATGTGCATATTATTATTTATAAGAATGAATATAATAAAACACAAATTGATTATTTTTTATGAGAAGAATTTATTGTAGAGATTGTAAAGATTTTAAGGTCTTTATAAGTGAAAATTTAAGCACTTAACATCGATTATTAGTTTTAAATTTTAAGTTGAAGGATTAAAAGATGAAAATACAACGAAATATTATCATAAAATTTGAAATGACATTTAAAAGACGCAAATAAAATTATTTTTATGAGTAAACTTCAAGATCTTAAGATATGAGATTTTCATGAAGAAACTAATGTTATGTGGGATAAAGTAACAAACTCTATTAAGTAAGTTATAAAAGATGTACTTAGTGTTTCAAAAGAAAAAAAATTATTATAAATAAAAGTAGTTTGCGATAGAATAATAATATGCAACAAAAGATAAAATGTAAAAAAAATTATTAAAGAAATTTGTTAAAATATAAAAGTTTAGAGAATTGAAAAAAATATAAGGTTGCCCATAGGGTGTAAGGAGAATAATTTATGATGTTAAAAATTCTATTATTGATGAAAGATATTTGTATAAACTAGCTAAACAAATATATAATAAAAAAAGAGTTAGTTCAAGTAAAATATATCGGGAATGAAAATCAAAAAAATGTTTTTCTTAGATGATGATATTTAACATAGTTGGATGAGATATTTTGATAAACTTTTCAATGAAGATTTTGAAAATTCGTTCGATTTTAGTGACATTAATATTATTAATTTGTAATTTTTTTATTTTCACTATCGCTTTAAATAAAATGAAATGTGGAAATTCAGTAAGATTAGATAATATTCCAATATAGTGTGAAAATATTTAGGAGATTTGAGAATTTTGTTAGCTCACTAAACTTCTTAATGTTCTTTTAAAAACTAAAAAGAGGTCCGAGGAGCGGAGGATGAGTATTTTGGTCGCTATATTTAAGAAAAAAATGGATACAAAAGAGTGCACAAATTATAGAGAAATTAAGTTAATATATCATAGATTAAAATTATGAGAGATGGTAATTGAACATGAGTTAATTTGTGAAACAAAGATTTCTCAGATCAGTTTGGATTTATGCCAAACAAGTATACAATAGAAGCTATACATTTATTGAGCAGTTTGATGGAGAAGTACAAAGACAATAAGGAGGATCTACAAATGATGTTTGTTGATTTAGAAAAAAAGTTTATGATAAGGTTCCAAGAGAAATGTTTTGGAGAGTTTTAGAAAAGAAATGTGTTGATATGTTATATTTAAGGCATTAAAGATATGTATAATGGAGCTATTACTTGTGTTCGAAGAAAAGGATGATTGACCAAATATTTTTCTACTTCAGTTGGATTACATCAAGGATCGACTTTAAGCCCATATATTTTTTGCTTTAGTTTTGTATGTTCTTACTGGTCATCTATAGGAGGACGAACTTATTGTATGCTTTTTAATGAGATCCTTCTTGTGGATAATACTAGAGAAAGAGTTCAGGAAAAAACTTGAATTATAAAGATCAATTTTAGATTTTGAAGACTTTTGTTTGAGTAGATCTAAGACTGACTAAATGAAATGTAAATTTAGTGGTAATAGATCTAATGGTGGGGTTGTAAGATTGGGTGATCAAGTCATTAAAATGAGTGAATTTTTTAGATATCTTGGGTCTATTGTTCAAAGTGATGGTGATAGAAATGTGGATGTTATTTTTGGAATTCAAGTTGGATGGTTGAAGTTGAGAAATTCATCTGACATATTGTGTGATAGAAAAGTACCACTGAGACTTGAAAGAAAATTTTATAAGATGGTTGTGAGATTTGCAATGCTTTATGGTGCAACACGTTAGTTTATAAAAGAGTAGGATAAAACTAAATGTTGCTGAGAGAAGAATGCTTAGGTCGATGACTGGCTTTACACTTAGAGATAAAATGTGAAATGAATATATCCGTGAAAGGGTCAGTGTAGCTCCAGTGGTAGAGAAGATTAGAGAGAGTCGTCTTAGGTGGTTTGGTCATATTAAACATCGACTGTCTGATAATCCAATTAGGGGAGTAGATGTTTAGATTTGACTTATGTTAAGAGAGGTAGATGTAGTCCTAAAAAAGCTTGGGCATGCTATATAAAAGGATGAACTTAATTTTTTAGAATTAAATGAAAATATGACTCTTAAAATGACACAATGGAGAAAAAGAATTCACATAGTCGGCTCCACTTAGTGTGATAAAGACTTTTTGTAGTTGTTGTTGTAGAGAACTTGAACCTATATTCATTTATGCAAGCAAAAATGATTACATGCTCCAATAAAATTTTATAAATAAATTTATAATAAAGGCATTAAATAAAAGATCACAGATTGCTTAATGAACATAAAATAATATTTGGGACAATCTACGCAAACCATGGAAGGGAACTGAAATGGCGAAGAAGAAAATCAGAGGGACCGAGCAACTTAAGTGAGAATTTACTATAGGAATATCCAAAAAGCTACCTTCACTAATGCACCACCATCCTAGCAGCAAAAGTAATACCAAGCATCATACAGCTAAATAATGATTAGGATACTGAAGCTAATAAATCTATAATATAATTTTCTGAGGTTATCCACACAGGTTTTGGTTGCTCCAATAGTTGTTATTTTAAAATTACTACATGATAAAGTACCGTTTTTGTGAATATGAAAATTTTGGCATGAGATATGTAAATACATAAGAATTTTGTGATTATATATATCTAAATTTCCCTTTTTAAAAATGTGGGTTTCTAGCATACTTTGTGCTGTATGAGAAACTTCTAACTTCTTGCTGTTCATTACCTTAACCTCTTCTGCTTTTACCAACAATATTCCCTGCAAAACATTTAAAACCCTTTACTCTTATTTTCTTACGTTTTCTTATAAAATTGTTTTATTTACTTCAGGTAACATCACTGAACCTTGAGATTGTTAGAGCTCTTGCTAGAGGTAATTTGTCTAGATTTTTATTGCTTACGCCTTTTTACTATGAGATGTTTTCACCAAAGAATGTACCCTTATTTTATGCGTATTAATGTTCTGCATTCTAAAGAAAGATACATAGACACAAATTTTTCTCCATATCTCAGGTTGATGAAGAAAGTTAGCATTAGAAACAAAGTTGTATTTTGAAAATCGGACAATAACATAATTTTGCTGAAATGCGAACTTGTTTATCCATGCTTCGGACATTCCTGAGCGAAGCAATGTTCCAAAAGTGGACTTTTTTTTTTTTTTCAAATTTGCTACGCATGGTATAGTTATAGGTTTGAAATTTGAAACTTTTTGTTATTTATGTAAATGTGAAATCTGAAACTGAAACCCCCCCTCGTCGTTAGATATAGAAACCTGGACGTGGATGGCTGTCCTGATAGAAAACACGGAGAAAAACGAAAATCTAAAACACGAAAAATAAATATATAGTAATAAGATAATTAGCAGTGGCCCAAGGGACTGACGGACTCCTCAACATCGGGAAAACTTAGGCTGGTTCGGTCCAGGTATGGAACAAGAGCCACTTTCATCATGGGGCTTCCTGCATCACGCATCAATCGCGGGATTTCTGGGCCCTCCCGCATCGCTGTTTAAATTGCGGTATTTACGCGTCCCTCTCCGCGTCACAGTTTGGTTCACTTTGTCTGATGTGATGTTATGTTTTCTTACTGATTGTTTTAAGTTATTTTGTTTGTTGCTCCCTCTGTTGAGCGAAAATGAATTACATTAATGGACTTGATATAGTCTATCTTGATAGCGTTGAAAATGGACATTCTTCAACTACTACAATGTTTGAAAAGGAAGGCAAAAAAGGTCATAATATTCAATGAATATATTTATAACATTTGCATTGTTCAAGTAAAAGAACCCTGAACTGAGCACTCAACATTTAATTGCTAACTTCCAATTTGAAAAACACTGCTCCTTTTATAAAAATTACCCCAGCAGGCCCTAGGGATCTTTGTATACATTTTGGGATGCTTGAAACATTGCAATTTACTATATTCCCCATTTTGGAATTATGCTTTTCCTGTTTGTGAGAGCAATGATGATTGGTATTATTATAATGGTAATTTAGGTTTATGAGGAAGATATAAAATGACGTGCAAATATCAAGCAATTTTCCAGATAAAAGTAACTTGGTTGTTTAGCGTGTCGCTGGGTAGCACCATTGTACTGGTAACAATTTTCAGTTCTCTTGCAGAAGGAATAACTGCTGTGGGGATATCACCATTTGCTTGCGGTTGGTCAACACAGGGTAGAAATGTCAGAAGCAGCCGTAAAATCTGTGATTATTTTGGTTTTATTTCTGCATTATGTTTCACACTTCGCATGCTCTATTTTTTCTAGCTGTCATTTTAATTTTGATATTCAACTCGCCATTTCTCCATTATCATGGCAACTTTTTGTTCATTCATTTTCTTGAAATTTTTGTGAATGTTTATAGATTTTTAGAATATTTACATACATACCACTAAATTCTTTTGTATTTACATATCTAACACCTAAAATTTAATTTTTACATATACGCTACTTTATCCATACGTGAAAATGTGTATTTCATCTTTTACAATGGTGTTTTTGATGTGATATGAATGATTTGGGTGGTGTAAATGTAAAATGTAAACTTAGATGTTAGATATTTAAATATATAAGAATCGGGCGAAATGCATGTAAATGCCCTAGATTTTTGTATCACTAAACAGTACAGGGACAACGGTCTGAACTCATATCCTTGGTTGTTTATAGATTACATGTGCAGATGTTTCTCACATTGATAGAGTTTTTTGTGCTGGATTTGTCCCTGTAAGTTACTTGAGTTTATTTATCTTTAATATTTAGTTGTAACTACTTACTTTCATATGTATAGCAGAGCCCACATTAATCCCTGCGAAACCATATGTATAAATATTTTAGGAAGTTTTACATACAAGCCACTCAATTCTTATGTATTTACATATATAACACCAAAACTTCAACGTTTGCATATACGCTACCTTACCTATGCATGAAAAGGTGTATTTCCCTTTTTAAAAGTTAAAATAGTGTTTTTTTGATGTGATATGAAAAATTTAGGTGGTATAAATGTAAAAAGCAATACTTAAGTGTTTGATATTTGAATACATCAGAATTGGGTATTTTTTGGCCTCATATTATTCTACTTTTGTAAGCTCAGTTAGTTATTTATGGGTTTCTTTGCATCAAGTGTAATATTTCAATAGATCTTACATTATAGGGCCGACCTTATTATGCGCCTACCTTTGCATGTGAATTAAAGAGACATTGCTTCATGCCATTTCTATTTTTTGGGAAATTTACATACATACTACACAATTGTTATGTATTTACGTATCACACCTAAAGTTTGATATTTACATCTATAACACGTTAGCATTATTTCACTTTTAAAAAGTTATTAATAGTAATGCTTTTATTATGTTTTTAAAGATTTGAGTGATATGCTTGTAAATATCAAAGTATAAGTATGAGATATGTAAATATATAAGAATTGTGTCTTATGCATGTAAATGCCCTTTCTTAATTTTCCTTTCCCATTAATCATTTCATTTATGATATTTGTTTTTATTCTCTTCTTGTTGTGAAATTCGATAACTATCATGCATCAGGTTTTGCATGGAGATGCCGTTTTGGATCATTCACTGGTAGATTTTTGCAAATCCATGAAATTTTCTCTTTTTTCTCTTACTTTAGGTCTTCAATTTATGATTAGTTTGGGTAGGATTGTAAAGGAAAAGTTCTGAATCCATTTCTGAAGGTAGTATTGAATGAATAGGGATGTACAATACTGAGTGGAGATGTCATTATACGCCATCTCGCACAACTCCTTTTGCCAGAGTATGTTGTATTCCTTGTATCCTTCCTTGTTCCGCAGCCCTATCCAGTTAAAAGAGAGATCTTCCAGTTGTTTGTCACAAAATGCTTGTTCCATTAAAACTAAAGGGCTGTGTGGAAGCACATTTAAATTTATTTTATTTATATTTTTAATTAAAATAAATTATGTTTATTATCTTATAACATACCTTTTTGTTTTTAAAATCATTCAAAACAGCTTTTAAATATTTTGAATGTTTTTAAAAACAAACTAATTTATTTTTGAAAATAAAAATCAAAACATGCAAAAAATATAGTAAACAAATATGTTTTTAAAATAAATTTGAAGTTAAATCTAAACAACTAGTTACAAAAGTGATCCTGAACAAGGTTTAAAGGAATAGGCTTAGTTTGATTTACTTGGAGGATTTCCTTAATTTGTTAACAATTTTGCAATGAAGACAGATGTTTTTGGTGTGTATGATCGCCCGCCTACATATTCAAATGCTAGACTTCTTCGTGAGATCGGTAAGGTTTTTTTAGTTTATGGTTGAGCTTTTAGTTAAAATGTCACTAAAAAAATTAATTGATTTTTGGCTTGGAACAAGTTCTAATCAAGCTAAATAAGACAAGGCATGAGCTAAAATTATTACTTTGCTCGATCTACGAGCCAATTTCAAGCTATGTTCGAATCGTATCAAGCTGGCTTGAAATCAATTTACATACATACCACACAATTTTTATGTGTTCACATATCTATTGCCTATAGTTTTATATTTACATGCATAGCAATCATATCATTAATATCACATCAAAATATTTCCATACGTGGAATACACCTTTTCATGTATAGGTTCATGTGATCAAAGTATTATAAATGCAAATATAAATATTCAGGTGTTAGATATGTAAATGCATAAGACTTTTGTGGTACATGACATCTCCACACACACACACATACCAATCAGCATTATAAATATGTATATATATGGATATTAAATATTTATAATTGAATTTAAAAAGGTAGGGAAAAAAAAAAAAGAAAAAAACTCATTTTGAGCCTCCTCACAATTAGGTTGATTCAAGTTGAGTTAGTTCCAAATCAAATTATTTCAATCCTCGATTCAATTTCAAGCCAATCAATATACGTTCGAACTCTAACTTAATTTGCTTGAAATCGGATCATTTTAACCCCTAATATATTGGGACCAATTTCTTAAATACTACTAAAATTTCTTCAAAATTTGCGCATAAAATTTGATTCTTTGTAACAGTCGTTGATGAAGAAGGAAATTGGTCGATTGTAAACCCTACGCTGCAACACGAGGATAAGCAAGGTATGTGGGCTTATGCTATTTTAGATTCCAATTGTTTGAACTAAAGCATTTGTCTTTTGTGATACTATACTATTTAGAGAATACATGAAGTGAACTCTTCCTGGAATTTTTAGGCTATAGAATAATTTGGGGCATTTATATATATACCACCCAATTCTATGTATTTACATATGTAACACCTAAGTTTTGCTTTTTATGTTTATATCACCCAAATCTTTCGTATCGTATCATGTAAAAAATACCACTTCTAAATTGTAAAAAGTGGAATACACTTTTTTTTTTATAAATAAGGTGACATGTAAAAAATTTAAGATTAGGCCGAAAATTTCACTCAGTCTAATCTTCGAGCTCTTTTTGATACAGGCCTTGACTCAATTGAGCCATTCGAGATAGAGATTCAAATGATCCGATTAGAGAGAGTCGTCTTAGATGGTTTGATCACATTAAACATCGCCAGCCTGATGATTGCATTAGGAGAGTAGATGTTTTAGATTCAATTTATGTTAAAAAAGTCAGAGGTAGACCTAACAAGACTTGGGCTTATTGTATAAAAAATGAGCTTAATTTATTAGAACTAAATGAAAATATGTCACTAAAGAAAAAGGATTCATGTAGCCGACCCCATGTAGTGGGATTAAGGTTTTGTTATTGTTGTAGTTTCAAATGAATGTCTACATACACCTTTACATTTGTATGTAGAAGAGTCTATATTATTATGTATCTATGAGTGCAAGTATTGATATTGGAGTAAGATTGTCTTATAAGAACAAATTATTTTTTCTTTCCAATTGAACTAGATCGAGGACAACTTTTTATCCATGTTTGGATAGATGAGAAAGTGGTTTGAGCGAAACTTTAACTAGACTGGGCTCAGCTCGAGCTCGGATTGAATCTCTTTAGGTCAATTGAGCAGGTTAGATTCAGTTCATGGTTCTAGTGTAGGGCCAAAGCTAATCGGGTTTGCGTTAGTTGAATTAAATCCTTACAAAGGCCATATATAGTATTAAATTTATGAAGATTTATATACATACCATTTAATTCCTATGTATTTACTAATCCAACACTCAAACATGAAATAAACATGAAATTTTGGAAATTTTACATGCATACCACTTAATTCCTATGTATTTACATATATAACACTCAAACTAAACTTTTATTTATACACAATCTTATTTATACATGAAAAGATATATTTCACGTTTTAAAAGTGAAGATAATTGTATTCCTTATGTGACAAGCAAGACCTGGGTGGTATAAATGTAAAAAAAAAAAAAGTAAAGTTTGGGTGTTAGATATGTAAATGCCCCAATTTTGTTCTAAAGATTCTTATGTGTCTTTTACTCGGACTCTAAATGCAGTGGAAATAACTGTTGCTTCTCACGACACAACCGGTGGAATGGAGACAAAGATATTGGAAGCAGCAGTGATTGCTAAACTCGGCATCAATGTATACATCAGCAAGGTGAGACAATGAAGAAAAAAATTGATAAAAAATTTTGTCCAAATGAAATTTTCAATGGAAAAAATTTGGTGGGTGAGTATCAAAATTATTTAATTTTTGGAACATTTTCATGCATACCGCACATTTCTTATTTATTTACATTTCTAACACCTTAATTTTTTAATTTTTTATATGGGTTTTACATACATAGCACACCTAATCTCTTAATTTAAAAATCTCACACATAAAAGTTTAATATTAAGGATTCAAAACTCCTGTTAACTCCTCCATCGATGGCGGTGGAGGGTGATGAACAGGATGGGGTATGCTGGCGATGTAGAAAGACATCTGAATCTCCCATCTTTTGCGAAGGCGGCGAAACACCCATATTTCTCCTTCAAAACTCCCATCTAATAGTTTTCAATTCCAACCTCAAAGACTATGATTCCATGTTCTCGCATCTTGGAACGAAGATGATGACATCTCCTGCAATTGGTTTGGAGTCAAATGTGACTCCATCTCCAACCGAGTGCCGGAGCTTGCCCTCGATGGCCTCTCCCTCCCAGGCAAGCTCGATCGCGGCCTTCTCCATCTTCGAAACATCCACACCCTTTCTCTTTCTAGAAACAACTTCTCCGGCTCCCCAATCGTCGAACGACAGAAAAGAAGACAACTGAGGTGTTAACATGAGTTCAGAATCCGTAATATTAAACTTTTAAATGCGAGATACATAAATTAAGAGGTTTCACGTACTTTACAAATGCATGACAAAAAAAGTGTAATTCACTTCTAAAATATTAATATTTTTGATGTGATATAGAATATTTAACTGTTATGAATATAAGAAGTTAAAATTTAGGTGTTAGATATATATTGCTTACTTATTCATTGCATGCATCTCTTCTGTTATCTTCTGTGTAACTCACTTCAATTTTTTTTCATTCAAATTTTGTTTTGCATTCATTCGGAAGTCAATCCAACGGCTATGTGTAGCTCTTCGATTCTTCTTTCTAATTGACGCAATATTAAGACTAATCAATCATCTCTTCTGTTATCTTCATCTAAAAAAAAAATAGAAGAAATACTTTTTGGGCCAATTACATAGAGACCACCCAAAACTTGCCATTTACAAATCAACCATATTGTTTCATCCAATTTTCAAATTCTCACCCAAATATCAAAATTATATATATATATCAAATTCTCAATTGCTTGATTGTGACATGTAAAAATATATTATTTCGATAGACGATTAATTCGTAAATATCATTGTTTTGTATGTTCTTGTATGTGTAATTTTCTTATTTTATATTTCTTACAAAACAGAAAAAATCAACATTTTTTGTTCATATTATGGACGTGCTCAACTGACTCATGCCGGTTGGCACTGAACATTCCCTGAGAGCTCTGAAAGGTGAAATAACTGATGAATGGCTGGGTACTGTAATACGCTCCAGCAAAAAGCCAAGCCCATATCCTTAGAATAAAACTGTTATCTATCATATGGGAAATTTAGTTATCTCATTCTAGATATTTTTGATTTATTTAAATAAAATTTGTGTCTGGTTTTTTGAAATTATTTTTTTCTTAGATTTACATTTTCTTTTTTATTGTGAGATTGGTCTCAAGTTTATATATATGTATACACATGTATATATATGTATATTTATTTATACTGAATATTTTTAGTAATATAAGTAAATATTAAATTTAGATATTAGATTTGGAAATACGTATAAAAGGTTGTGATGTGTATATAAATTTGATTTACTAAAAAAAACTAATATTAATAGTATATCTTATATTATATTAAAAATATTAATGTTATATAAATAAATATTTAAATTCGAACCTCAAATATGTAAGTAAAAATTCTATCAGATGTATGTATGACATTTTATGATGATTTGAATTCATGACCTAATTGTGAGAAAATATATTATTAATCAAATAATTATATAACGGATAAGTGCCCCAGGACAAATAATAGCCGCTAAATTTTTTTTGAAAAAATTGGGTTTTAAATTATAATGGTTAGATTTAATCGAAGAATTAAAAAAATTAATGTTCTCTCAATTTTCTTAAATTTAGTAGGTGCCCGTTTTTATGTGGAAAATCACTCCTGACTTAGCTTTACGTGCGGCGCAATGTGTTTTTGAGTTATTTTTAGGTTATTTCTGGGTTATTTTCAATAATCCTGAAATATTATTTTCAATAATCCTGAAATTTCAATAATCCTGAAATAACTCAAAAATAACCCGTGGTCTTTATTTTTGGGTATAATTTGAAAATAACTCAGGAATAACCTGCACAACACGTAGAGTTATGTCAGGTGTCCTGACAGAAAATACGCGCGAAAATAGACCGATTTTCATGCATACCACTCAATTCTTTTAGATTTACATTGAAATGAATATGTCACTTTATTTATACATGACAATATATATTATATTTTTTTTAACAAAAAATCAAAATAATAAGACTTTTAGACGCTTTGAACATTTTTGTTGGTTTAATATAAAATTTTGTAAATATCAAGATTTTAAGTACTTTTCATTTAGTTGCCCCTAAAATTTATTCAAGATATTTTTACATTTTTTGGATTATATTAATCTATAATATATAATATTATATTATCTTAATAAAATTTGATTTATAAATTATTATTATTAGGCTATATATATATATATATATTTACGTAAATACCATTCTATTCTTACATATCTAATTTTTAAGTTTAATTTTTACATGCATATCATTGCATTTATCTTCAAACCGAAAATGGCTGGAGAGGCTGGAGAGGCTGGAGCTCATTACATCAGATTTCTAGGGTTTTAGCTTCCACCAGGAGTCACGGAACGGGATTTCAAGCTGCACCATTTATGCTCTAGGGTTTCGATTTGCCTTCGCTGATGCGATCTCTTTCTCTGTGAGCTCTAAGACGCTATTCTTCTTTTATATCTTTTATCCTTTTCATGTCTACTGCATGGTCTGTTTGAAGCCATGGATCGGTTTTTCACTTTGCATTTTAATTTTTAAACTATTTCAGTCAGAGTCGCGAAAATTTACTCGTCTAATTGGAGAGAAGGCAGCTGGTAATTTTGGAGATGGTTAAATTTGTATGTATTGCTTTATTTTTCCGATTAGTCTCGAGAGGGGCTGTTTAGCTGTAAATGTTGAATTTTGTAATTCCTGCAAATCAAGATTTAGAAAATCTTGAGAGGATTAAAGCCTGAAACTTGTTAAATTTTGTTAAATTCTAAGAATTTGTTTAACTATTTTTTTAGGATTTATGATTTGTGGGAGGAAGGAATTCTTAAACCTGTTAAAAAAATTAATAGTGTGATCTATCAAATCCTGGATTTAACTAATAACAAGATTGAAATGGGATTTATCCGAAAGATTGACACTGGATTTATCCTAAAGCTTGCATAAATAGTATGCCAAATTTGCACAGTTCGGCGGTGTTTGATAGCATCCTATTAATTGGATTTAGGCATAGATTTAACTTAAATCCAACCAAACGCTAAAAAATAAAAATTAAATCTAAAGCTCTATTAAATCCAATTTTATTGCATCCGTCTTTTTCTTCGCGCGCTCCGTCACTTATAGTCTTATATGACGTGAATCCGGATTTAGTAAATTCGACTGCAAGGCGGATTTATTCCACCATCCTTCGCGGGCATAATTGTCGCAATGGGGATTTATCGGACTTGATAAATCCGATTTATCGTAAATGAAATTTGCAGCCAAACACCGCCTTCAAGTTCTGTGGAGTAATGGATGCTTGAACTGATATATTGTTGTTGAATAGAATCCCTTTGGTTCCCACATCTCCAGTTATTTCAAGCTTTTCTGTTTGTTTCAAGCTGTCAATGAAGTATTTCCATTCCAAGTTCATGATTGCTACTTGTATTTAATAAGCACACATATGCTGTTGATTATTGCTGCATCTTATTGATTAATTAAAGTAATTTTAATCCTTAAAATATAAAGGAAGATTTACATGCATATCAGTCAATTCTTATTTATTTAATTGTGTGGTATGTATGTAAATGCCCCAAATATAACATAGAAAAACTTGTCTTTTGAATTAGAAACACTTATGGATTTTATGAATCTCACAGTGGAAGAATTTGAGTCGAGCGTTCCGTTAAACCAACTCATGCAGGGTGTTTTAGTAAGCACTTTAGCACCCCAAGCAATTGGTGGGAGCTGTGGAGCAGTTTCGTTGTTCAAGGATTGTTTGAAGCTTTTCAATAGGAACGGCATAAAACCCATGGTCGATAGCTCATGTTTCGGGCGTCAATGCATGCTAAGGCTATACTCTATAAACACTAGCAGAGCCAGGAGGTTGGACTCGAGGATCAAAGCTACATGGTTGTTCAATGGAGGTCGTAAAGAGATGGATGGCAGCATCGAGCGTAGTGAGGCGAGTAATGAGGAGATTGTAATATTCTTTTTCCGATTGGACTTAGAGACTCGGATACAGGTGACCTTTTTATTGTTTTAAGTTCTTAGAATTATTCATGCCAAAGTTATTTTCTTTTTGTGAAATTTGTTCCAAACCACTTTTAAGAAAATTCTACTTCTTAAAACAAAACTTTAATACATACATTTATTACTCTTATTCAATTATGTTTTGGCAGTATGCTCTAAATACAGAACAATATGATGTTGCACAACAATTAAGAAACCAGCTTAATGAGGTATCTTCTTCTGTATATAGATTTTTCTTATTTTGCAAAGTTAATATTTGGTTTACTCGTGGACATGAATAATAATAGAAGTTCAGTGGATCTTTGTCACTATATGAAGGTTGAAACCAAAATAATCAAACAACAAGAAGCTAAAAGGGGATCCTCAAAAAGTGAAGCTCAGGACAAAGCATTAAATTTATTACGAATGCGGTGAGAGTGCTATTTTATGGTTCTCCGTTTCCCTTTAAGTTGAATGTTAGAAAGAACTACAATTGCCTAAGCTTATTCTTTTGCAGTGCAGACTTGCAGAAAGCTATTGATAATGAGAAGTATGCAGTTGCTGCAGAGTTACGGGATGAGATCTCAAATCTTGAGGTATATAAAGTGCTAATTAAATTTTTGGAAGATTTACGTACATACCACTTAATTTTTGGAAGATTTACGTACATACCACTTAATTCTTATCTATTTACATATCTAACACCTAAACTTCAAGTTTTATATACTACGCCTTACCTATGTATGAGAGAGTGTTTTTCACTTTTAAAAGTTAAAATAGTGGTATTTTTTATGTGATATGAAAGATTTGAATGATATAAATTTAAAACGTAGAGTTTAGGTGTTGGATATGTAAATACATAGGAATTGGGTGGTATGCATGTAAATGCCCCTAAATTTTTCAATGTTTTGGTATGTTGCATTTTTTATCTTGTTTGTTTGTTTCATTTACATGTATAATAAATGTCCTAGGAGTCTTATGCTGTTGTTGTTGACTGTAGGTTGAATCCTTGGCTTCATCTGCCAAAGCTTTGGCTTACGAGAATGCTCAATATGCATATCGGTTGGGTGAGAAAGTAAGGCACAAAGTGTTTGGTGAGTTTTTGCTATATATTTGCTTTTTCACTTTTTGAAATAAAGCACGTTTTCATGATATTGTGGTTGTCTTCTTAAGGTTTTTTTGGTTTTATACGTGGTTTTTCACAATTGTGTGCCTCTATCCAAACTTCAAAAGTAGAGATTGTGTGGCTAGGGGTGTCAATTCGGGTTCGCTGGCCTGGTTTGGGTCGACCCTCTTCAAAACTATCTGACCCGAATATTAAACGGACCAGAATGCCCAACTCGAACTTGACCCGTCTTGAACATGTCAACTGGAACCCATCTCGTATAACCCGTTAACATAAGACAACAATTATTTCGGCCATTTTTGGGTCAAATTCGATCAATTTCTGATTGATTTCAAGTTATAGGGTCGGTGTTGAGTCATTTTCGGGTTACCAGGTCGGTTTTAGGTCAATTTTGGGTTGGGAAGTCAACTCCAACTCGACCAAAAAAATTAAACTTGTTAGGATTCTTAACCCGAAACCTGTTATTCGGGACGACCTGAACCCCAATTTTTCAAGTTGAGTTCGGGTTGACTTGGCATGTGAGGTTAATTTCTGACCCCTATGAGTGGCTTAGTCTATTATATAAATATTTGAATTCTATCATTCAAACTTTTCCTTACAAAAAATATCTTTAATGGAGCCTGTTCACAACTAAAAAATAATGCTATATGGTTACAGTAAAATCAATCAAGCAAAGGTACCTTGGATCAGCCATTTGTATTTCATCTTATTTTATTTAAGCTCTGTTAGGAATAATAAATAAGACTCATTGTAAGTTTGGAGGACATCACTTAATGACAACCAATTAACTATAGGCATAAACTGGATCTGTTCTTTTATCGATTAAATTCAAAGATTGCCCTAAATTTATGGACTCTCATTTTAGAGATGGATTTGGATTCAACTTTACTTAGATACGAGTATTCATGATGTGTCTATATTTTGTAAGTTGGTATTTATTTATTCGAATTGGAACGTATAATAACCAAGCATATTAGACTATTTGCCTCGACAAAAATTTATGAGTTTAAATTACAACACAATATATATATACCTAAAGGGCTAATTTTATTGAAATTGAAATGGTAGATAAAGGTTGTATGAGAGGACGCAATAAAGGCGCCCTACCCATGCGATACACACACTAGCATCCTAAAAAGGATAAAATATAGATAAAACTCTAAAATTCAAAACTCGCAGAAAATAAGTTGCTAGGAACGAGCCAGCTTGGTCCTGCCTCTGCCTATGGTTCTAGGAGCGGAGCTAGCTAACAAGTTGTTGAGTGCCGTGTCATTACCCGAAATTATCAAAGTATTATCCATTAAGTTCCCAAGCGGGGGTGTGCCTCCATTTTTCTTTTTCTTCCCAGATGTGTATACCTGTCATTCCTCATCCGAAGACTTGCTCATCTGATCAGTGTGGTCAACAGATTGTCGAACATGTAGAAGAGGATGAAACCCCAACTCCTGACTAACAATAACAACATTCTCATTCTAAAGAGATGGCAAACATGTCTCCCGGCACCTGATGCTTCTTGAGGATGTGAAGCTGCGATACTATCCTGATTATCAGACCGAAGAATATCTTTTGGAGGTAGGGAGATGTGACATCGTGTCAACCAGTGTTTCAATAGTCTGTGGAATGCACTCGGGAGCGGAAGAGGGACATATATGAAGTGGGCAGATCCAGTAGCATTTTTACTTGAAGGTTTTAGATTCAGATGCAACTGATAACATTGAGAAAGAGACTGTCCAAACATACGACACTGGGTGCAATAAAAAGATATCTGTTTAAGTTCTGCGTGCTGCCAAAATCCCTGATGCTGTGTGCCAATTCATATCTCTCCCGGAAAAGGTAAAGTAATATCCCGTTCCATCAAAATTTTGGCTTCAGAAGGCCGAGTCAGATTCACTGTAGGCGTATCAGTTTTGAAAGGTTTAGCGTATACCATCGCTAAAGCGAAGAAGAGCTCTTGATCGTAAAGGTGGACCTTCAAACCTAGGAATCACAGCCAAACAAAAATGGTAGGAGGTTTAGTACGATGGTCAAAATCCACCGTCTATTTTAAAACCTTCATCACCTGGTTGTCTATTCGAAGGAGTCTTCTCGCAAACAAATGAGCGTAATCTTCATCATTTGATAATTGAATGAGAATGTGTCGACCATCCAATTTACCAATTTTCCAACCTTCTTTCAGCTTCATTTGCTCAAAATCCTTTCGAATTAGCTCAAGTTTAGGGTTTTCATAACGAAACTTACCTACTAAGAACAGTCGGCAGGGTGTAGCTATGTTGAAGATCTCGGCCTCTGTGAGAAAGATTTCAGGTTTGCCGTTTTTACGGGATGTTTTTTTGAGAAATCCGGTTTCAACGCCAAGAACAAAAGTATCGTGGTAACGTTGCGGAAACATATTTGAAAGAGGAGCGGGAGCGGGGTTATCACCGGTGAGAGCGGCGACATAGGAAAGAACCCCTGAGGCCATCACCTTGGCCGGTGTTAGTCACTATATGAGGAAATATCGCAAAAAAGGGGCGAGAGCGGCAGACGAGAACACAGTTGCGACTTCGTGAGGACTGCGAAGTAGGCGCCGTGGACAGACGAGGACGTCGTCTGGAAAGAAATGCGAAGACGTGAGTCTGCCGCCAAAAAGCACAGCAACAGCGCGACGACACGAGCACCAATGAAAACGAAGCAGGGAAATAGAAACGCGAGAGAGATCCGTGTAGCAAAAATCTAGGGTTCGCCATGAGGCGAAACCCTAGCAGAGGGAAACGACATCCGTAAATATATATATATATATATATATATATATGTATATGTGTGTGTGTGTGCGCGCGCGCTCGGTGAGTGTGTAGGTGAGTGGGCGCCGTTTGGTCGGTTATAAGCGGATTATTGTTATTATTATTATTTTATGTGTAAGTATTTCCATAATATGTGTTGCCACCGTCACTTTGGTTGCCTAAGCTACCATTGACTTAAATTAAAAAGAACTTACAAATATATGGAGTTCGGTGTCGCCCAACTCCCAAGCCTCAAGCTATGTGTGGTCATTGAATTTCATTCTTTTTCTATGTTCTGCATTGTATGGATGCTTCTTCTACCAGATGATTCTGAGAATTCACTTCCTCCTCCATGGCCTCTTCCGAACTCTTTAGGAGAAGGTTCTTTGTTGGTTTGATGAATTAATAATGCAGTACAAGCTAGTAGCCAGTTTAGCTTAAAAAATTAGATTTTGACAAGCTAATTACGAGGAGTTGAATCAAGTACAAAGGAACCAAACCGACCAATTTTGGTCCCTTTAAAAGCCATATTTAATTATGGATGAATTCTATTATTTTTATTTGATTTTTTTAATTAGGTTAAATTCCTTTTAATATATTTAGGTTTGATTGTTTGAATAATATTTGGCTTTGTCTCAAGATAGCTTATATTGGATTTAAACTTTGACCTTTCCACGTAATTGCTCCTACAAACAGGAATCACTGTTGATAATTGATTGAACATTAATGATGGCAAATTATTTATGAGAGCAATCGAGTGCTCTTTAGATTCACTTTGAGTACACAATTGTTTCTTCTTTGTCATCTTTCTTCTCTTCACCCTTTTTTTTATTTTGAGCAAATGTTTATGACACTTTATAATTTTATTTATGATAAATTGTGTTACAATGACTCACATTAAGCTAACTAAGGCAATGACAAATTAGTAATTCCATAGAAACTATTAAAGAACTATGGAAGCTTCTAATTTGGTGAACCGGGTCTACATGGGAGGCCTCATTTAGTTATAAATAGATGAGAGAGGCATGTAGAGAGGGGACCAAGGGAAAGCAAATCAATTAGTTAGAGAAAAAAGAGGAGATGCTTCAAGAATTGAGGGGGAGCATTGTTGACCTCATTTTTAGTGAGGTCTAGTCTTCCTCTTAGGGTTTAGGATCTAGCCTTAGGGACCTCCCTTGACTATCTTAGAACCTTAGAAGTGGTGCCCGCCTCATTGTAATTTGACCTATTTCCGTCCTCTTTTGTGGTTCCAAGTGTGTGGTATCGACTTCTAGCATTTAGAAGGGTGAAACCAACATGAGGAAACCCAAAAGGGATCCCTATAGGACCTTTTTGAGCCTTAGGGTGGCCTTCTGCACAATTCGCACTCCCGCGCGCACAAACTTCGCAATTCGGAGAGCCAACACGTCCGATCGCCATAATTCACATCGCTTGCACTGTTACCCGTCGAAGAC